ACCGAATATAGTTCGATAATATGTCAGTGATGCATGCAATTATGCACAATTTCAATGCATGCAATTATGCACGACTTCAATGCATGCAATTATGCACGACTTCGATGCATGCAGTTATGCGCGGTAGTCAAAAATATGATATAATATGATATTTTGAGAAATGAAATTCGAATTTTGTTTTAATCCGTCAAGAAGAATGTCGCTTTTTTTTTTGTTCACTTCCATTAGATTTGATAAAAATGTTATCACCCAGGGAACTTTTTTAAATTCTCTTTCATTTTTTAGTATAAAAATTTTATCATTGAGAGATTTCAATAGAAATATCATGATGATTATGCATAATTATTTTGGCTTTCAGTGAAATTGAATATTGGATGATCGATAAAATTGATTGTACAGAATTGCTTCTGGCAATTTCCGGCATGTTCCAATTCCAGTACAATAATCGTATTGTTATGCTTGAGAAATGGTTTCGGTACGTAGAGTGTTATCTAAATTTATCATTAAATAATTTAATGATAATGAATTTATTTTACAAATTAGAGTAAATAATTCAGGATAAAAATAGCCCTTTAATTATTCGTTGTTTAATTAATCTGGAAAAGATATGATAAATTAATTCTATCAATATATGAATTGATTCAACATTTTAAATTAAGTTTCGAGAAATAGGATAAAAAATTGTATTGATAAATTTTAATCATATAAAATTAATCACTTGTGGTCCAACACTTGGCCAATATCGGCCAATATTATGACCATTAATAAATACTTGTCCTTTGCCCCAATTAATTGGATTGAAGAAAGTATCAGCAAGACGATTTGCATAAAAATTACCCATATATAAACCTATTCCATTTTTGTTTTCCTGAAAATGTTCCTTCATTTTCAAAAACATTATCTATACTTTAGCTAAGTACATAAATTAGTCCAGGGCTAGAAAATAAATTGGAAAATTAAGGCTTTGAAAAAGACATATAATGAAGAAGGATAACAAGGATGTAAAATGCTTGTGAAACTTATGCTAAAGTTTTTTTTTTGTTAAATTTTTACAAGTAATATAAAGTTTTGAGAAATTCAAAAATGTCGTTTAGGCTTAAATTTAAATAAAAACATACATTCAAATAGCTCCATTCCTTGGCTCGCCAAGCTAATGAAACTATTAATTTTGTTTGTAAGCCACATTGTATCCAATCATCAATTATTTCTCCATCAAGTGTTACATTTGATAATATACCCTGAATATTTAGTCTACTTTCTTATGATAAAAATATAAATAGCAGTAGTGATAAATGATTATGATAAATTATCATTATCATGATTTATCATTTTAGCTATCAATCTAAAACGAGTTGTGAAAGTGTGAATAGTATACAATTTCTACTGATTAAAACTCTTGGTGACAATATTTATCTTCTGTTCAGAATAAACACATTGCTAATTAGTTTGATGAACCGGAAACGAGAACTTGAACACTTATCTCACTTAATGGAATATCCAATTAGTTTTAATTAATTAACTCAAACCCTATTTTCAAAAAAAATCAAATACCTTGAAATCATTAATTGTTGGGATTGTTTGACGCCCCTGATTTTCCACTAATATTCCAAGTACTGCACCTACCCTGGCACCTCTTAAATCCATCCAATGTTTCGAGTAGCTCTCAAATTTATTCACTAATACTCCCTAAAAAATTTCCATTTCAATTTTCAAATTAAAATTAAGCAAAATTTCTTATCTGAGACAAAGCTATCCCTAAAAATTAATCAAATAATAATTATTCAGATTGAAAATTAAAGGAAAATTTCTCTTACCTGAAACAAAATTTCTCTTTGAAAATTAATTAATCAATTAATAATGATTCATTCATTCAACTAAACAAAATAAAGCCCTCTCAATTAAAAAGTTTTATCAGAAATGTACCTGTAATTCATTATCAATTATCACATAGCCACGATCTTTCATCAATGGTATCGTAAGATTTGTACCATCAAACTTCAATCTTGTATTATACATCACAAAGCCTGTTAAATTTTTCGTCAAATCTAGAAGTTAAATTTGGCCCTAAAAAAAAAAAAAAAAAAAAAAAAAAAGACAAGTGATAAGTTTACAATTGAAAATGATGATTTTAATCTTGATTTAATTTCAATCTTGACGATTTTAATTGTTCCGCCAACATCCAAATCTACACGGGCAATCTGTTGCAGTACATTTACGCAATTAATTATTAGAAAAATTAATTAAATTAATTAAAGGATTAAAAGGAAAAAGTAATAGTGTAACATGTACCAAATGGATGTTCAAGTTGTTCAAATGAAATTGGATATTTTGTTGTTCGACAATTTTGACTTGCTGAGATTAATTCCCAAAAATGTTTTCCTAATGGTAAAATTTCTTTTAATTTCACACTACCGTAACCAATTTTCCTAGAAAAAAAAATTGATTTTTGCAAAGATCAAAAAGTTTTATTTGACATTTTTGTAATATAATCTCGAGTAAACAAAAAAAAAAGATTCTTTTCATTTTAAAATGTAAAAATTGGATGCATTTAATGAATTGAAATGAATGAAAACAATTTTAGCACAGAAGTTTTAATATTTTAAATTAAAAATTATGTAAAGCAATTTGCGACGCTTTGTGACATTCCCAAAAAAAAATTTTTTTTTTATTTCGAAGATAATTTTTCAACTTTCCATATTCAATAATGCGGCATCATGTTTATAAACTATATAAAATTGTACATTTAACTTTTAAAATTTTGAATTATATTAGCCAATTTTTAGTATTCTAAATTACTCACAAATTATCACGTGGTATTTTGCCTGGCTTATATGGCCAATCTGATTTATTGGCCAACCAATTTCGTATCGCCAAATATTTTGGAGTTAAATCACCTGCCTCAGTTAATGGAGCGGTATAATCGTATGATGTTATTACCTATGTATGCATATATTATCTTTAAAATGACTTTGAAATAAGTGTTTGGAAACTTCTATAATTAGTTATCTACTCGAAAAAGCTCAAGATTTGATCAATTTCAGGTTTGGTAAGTTGAAATTTCGGAAATGAATTATGGCATATTTAATGAAATGGTTAAATTCTGGATAATATTTAAATCTAGGAACATTGCCAAATGATTCGATAAATTAATCATTAAAAATAAATCATTGTCAAAAAAAATTATCACAAGTTATTAACCAATCCATTTGTACAAATTTTTATACTTAAAAACTGATATGCTTCACAATTTACTTCAGAATCTCGAAGTAGATTGTGAGAAATACCGGTCGAGTACAAAATTAAGGTATCTTTTCCAATTTCCACTGCAACATTTCCTCCTTTAAAATCTTTAGCATAGAAAAAAATTTTTAAATGGTTTTATGAATTAGTAGGATTAAGTCATTAACGATAATAATTTTCTCGAGAGTTCTTGTCAAATACGATTTTTTTTTTTCAGAAATCTTAAAACTTTACCGGTGCAGTAGTTTCAGCACCATTCCAATAACCGAAATTTGTGCCACCATGGAACATATAAAAATTAATATTTGCGCCAAGATGATACATGTAATCAGCCGTATCAATAATTTCTGTTATTGACGGTAAATTTTGCTTCTTTTGACCCCAAAGAACTAACCATCCGGGATAAAATTCCGAATTTACCAATGGTCCTATTGATTGATTTATTTCAAAATTTCACAAATTTTTTTTTAAGAATATAAAAATGAGATTTCTCTACAACTACTAAAAAAAAAAAATGCTTGCAAAGCTGTAAACTACAAAAATCACATTACATTCTTAACTTTTTGGGATTTATCGATTTTTATTTTATGTCGAAAAAAAAAAAACTGAAAATCATAATAAATGTACCATTGAATTATCGATTAGAAACGGATAAATTAACCGGATTTAAACTTTAAAACAACATATAAAATATCTGGATAATCTATGGAAGAATGGAAAAAGTACAATGATCTATCTTGAATAGAACCTAAATTACCGTAATATTCATATTAGGTTTAGCCTAAATTACGGTAATATCTATATGATTAAATTTAAATGAAAGCAGGAAGAAGAAACCATGTGGTGCATAATGTCGTTGCATTGCAAAATATGCATTCACGTTTTGTTGAGTTGTTGGACCGAAATCGATTGTTGGATAAGCATTTGTTGTTGTGCCACATTTCAAATAGGATTCTGATGATCCATCAGCTATAAATGGATTCTGAATAAATTTTTGAAGAAATATTGAAGGACCATTAAAGTAATATATAGTAATCATTTAATTGTAGAAATTTAAAAGATAATGTTATGTGACAGATTTTTCCTATCGTAATCATCATAGTATATACTAAGTAATGCTTATCATTTTGTTATCTTTTTATAAATCCAATGAGTAGCTAAAGTTTTCTTAAAAAAATACAAAAGAATGAAGAGAAAAAGTAAAATATCTTTTAAAGGAACAAAGTAAATAACGTTGAATTTCACGTTACTTCTCACGTTGCACGAATATTTTGCAATCATTGCAATTCACAAAATCTATTTATGCTACTAAAAATAAAATGACTTTACTTAATTATAATTAGTATTTTGAAGCCATGTTTTGCTCCAATGATAATATTCTTTGCATTTTGTAAAATTTATAATCCATGAAAAAGTTATTTAATAATGTAATCTTTGCAGCTTGCTGTACAAGAATTTGTGGAAAAAAAAAAACAATTTGTTAAATGAAAATTTGACGGATATTTTTTAATATTTTCATATGTCAACGATTTCGAATAATTTTGTTATCATTTAATCTTTAATCTTAAATGGACTAATATAAAGTAGACAGTGTTATCGTTGTGATAGAGAAATAGGTAATTTATCCAAAAAGTTTTACTCAAGAAATTGGGAAATTTTTTTTTTTCATTAAAATTAAACGAAAAACAAATTTTGATCGAGTATCCGAAGATTTTAGCATTTTCATTTGAAAAAAAAAAAATAGCTTCATTTATTGATAATTTGATAGAGTGATGAAATAGAAATAGCTTAAGGATTTAGCTATCAACGAATTTATTTAATAATTTCTAGAATGATAATCCATATGGATATCATAAATGTCAACATTCTGTGTCACCAGAAAATCCAACTACTTAGTTGTTTAATATTTTGAAATATACGAATGAATTATGCATGTAGTATATTTGAATAAAATACAAAATTTCAGAGCAAATTTTCATCCAATTTTATCAAACCTACAGCGCATCGCATCATTTTACAAATAGCGCCATTCAATCAATCTTTTAGATATTTCGAAAATAGAGATTTATTATCACAATGATATCATTTTAAATTTATCCTAAGTATCGGGAGCATCCCCAATTTTCATACTTACAATTGGGCCTATTAGATGTAGCTAGGCATAGCAAAGCCATCAAAATCATATCCATAAAGTATTTAAATGTCGACAAAAAGTGATCGAAAAAAAAAATTGTAAAATTCATATTTGTTAAAGTAACTTTGATAATTATAAACATCTTCGAGTTTATTAATTACTAATTAATTATTGTAAAATTCATATTTGTTAAAGTAACTTTGATAATTATAAACATCTTCAAGTTTATTAATTACTAATTAATTGATCATGCAAAATTTAATTTTGTTTTAAGTAAGAAGTAGTAATTATTAGATAAGAAAATGATAAAGATTCTTTTGTAGCTAAATTCCTGAAGCAACATCGATTTAAACAGCATTTCAAATGATTGCTAAAGAAAGAATGGAAATTGAAAATGAAATTGAAACGATTAAAATTGTTGCTTGTTATTTCAAAAATTTAATCTATCTTATAATTTTTTTAATGAAGTTTTAGACTAGGAAGAAAAAAAAGCATTGATTAATTTTGAATTTCGAATATTTTCCAAATTTTATGCATATTAATAAGTTTAACAAATTTAATGGGATTGATATCATGTTATGAATGCGACATTTCCGCTTTTAAATTTTAATTATTTCATATTTACCACATTTAGAACCCACTGGTGTATTGGATGATATCTGTTCCAAGATAATATCGAATCATATCACTTAATTGTTCCATGTATACTTTATCACATGCATAATGACTGCCGTATTCATTTTCCACCTGTACCATCAATATTGGACCACCATTTTTTAACAATTGCGCATTTAGTATTGGCAATAATACATCAAACCAAACTTTTACTTCTTTAAGAAATCTAAACTTAACTTTAATGTAAGATTAAATAAGAGAAAGAAATAAATATTTCGAAAAAATTTTTTACTTTAATAAATTAATTCTAACTTTTCTGGAAGTTTTTTTTTTTTCATTTATTATCAATTATAATTGTATAAAATGCATTATTGATTGACTCAAAAAAAAAAAAAAAAGAGAAATGTATTATTTATACATTAATAAAACATAAATATCCAGCAAACAAACTAAGTTTGGTGAATTTTTTTTTTGCAAATTTTATTTTTGCACCGTTTATCAGAAGTTCTTTGATGGATATCGTTGTATTTACGAATAAGCCACCATGGTAATCCACCATTTTCCCATTCAGCACAAATATATGGACCAATTCTGAATATTTTAAATTTAATACAAAAAATTTTATCATAAAATTACGGTAATTATTACCTTACAAGAACGAAGAGTTGATTAGATGCAGCAAGTTCAATGAAACGTGTTATATTGCGTTGTCCATTAAACAGGTATCTATAACAATTGTCATTAATTTTCTTTTTTCTTTTTTTTTTTTCTTTGGAAATGAAAAAACTTTGAAAGATTCAATTTGCTTTTATCAACTAAAATTTTAAAAACAAAACAATTTACAAAATGTTTGAATTATTTTATTTATTTTATCAGAGATTTTACAATTATCATAGCTAAATAATTGCATACAAGATGATAGGACATGTCACCTCTAACAGGTAAAACAACCATACAAAGTGATAGGATATGTCACCTCTAACAGGTAAAACAACCATACAAAGTGATAGATATGTCACCTCTAACAGGTAAAACAACCATACAAAGTGATAGATATGTCACCTCTAACAGGTAAAACAACAAACCTTCCATTATAAACTTCATGAAAATTCCATGGAATGTACATTTGTATGGTATTTAAGCCTG